AAACTTTTGTTTTTGAAATTTCCCTCACAAGGCAAGGAAATGAATACACTGAGTTAATTATAAAAAGACCTCTGTGTGGTATTATCTGAGGTAAATTGTACTTGTGTAGAATGCTCTGTAAAGTCATTTGGTGTGCATGTTTGCTTTTTGTTTTTTTTGTATTTCAACTATAAAATGGAAAGAAATTAGCCTGTTTATCCTCAAGGCGAGAGAAAACACGTGACAGAATTTGACCAGAGCATCTGTCTCCAACAAGATATGACTGGCGTCATGTGGACGCCCCAGGAGTCTGTTTTGGCAGAGGAAATGAAAAGGAAACAAATGCTTCGCAGTTCTGAATTCAATCATTATTACCACTGCTACTCTGCTAAGCAGGACAAGCGAAGAATTACCTTCTGTTTGTCATAGGTGTGGTGGTGCATGCCTGTAACCCCAGGTCTCAGGAGCACAGGGGAAGGACTGTGAGCTGGTAATCCCAGCTCTGAGAAGCAGAGGCAGGGGGATTGTAGATTGGTAATCTCAGCTCTCAGGAGGCAGAAGCAGAAGGATTATGAGTTGGTAATCCTAGCTCTCAGTAACAGAGGCAGGGGGATTGTGAGTTGGTAATACTGGCTCTCAGGAGGCAGAAGTGGAAGGATTTTGAGCTGGAGACCAGCCTGGACTGTGAGCTCTTATCTCAAATCAACCAATGACTTCTTTCCTGTATTTTGAAATAACTTACTATGCAATACATAGATCATTTAACACAGTAGTAAGGCTATATATTCTATATTCTCTCTCTATATATATATTCTATATATTCTAGAAAATCTTCATATGTGGTTACCATAGACTAACCTATACTATCAGGGTTACAGGCCAGCAGTCTGTGCCACATGGTTCTGACATAATATCTCAAGTGGGCGAGCATCATGCGATACTCTCTGGTTCAGCATTCTAACCTAGCGATGCACGCAGGACTCAAACTTTCAGACTCCTCCTCTTACCAGCTATGTGACCCTGGAAAGGACACTTAACCTTCATGTCTCTGTTTGCTTCCTTGTAAAATGTAGTTGATAATAACCGTATGTATCCCACAGGTTTGCTTTAAAGATTAAGTAATTCACACATGAGCATTTATCCTGGTGCCTCATGGCATGGTCATCATTCAGCAGAAATCTGGCTCTTTGCAGACAGGCAGACCTCTCTGGAAGGTTTGGCTGTCTGTTCCTTAATGCATAGAGAGAGCCATTTTGACATAGTCTGTTCTGAGTCAACCCAAGTGTCAACACAATACCAAAAGGGGCCATTAATAAAGCACACAGAATTATTGCTGACTTTAGCTAAGTAGAATAAACATCATAAATAACTTATTAGGAGAGGTTCCATATGAGCTGCCCATACATCACTGAGATTTTCAGGAAAGAAAGGAGACTTTTGTCCAGTCCTTTCATCTCACACAGGAGGGAACTCAGAGCCATCAAAGTTCAGTAGAGCACAGCCAGTTCAGAAAAGAATTGAGCTCAGGCCTCCTGACCCCAAAGTCTTTGAGATAGTGAGGACAGATTGTAGATTCATTCCGGGACATCAATCTTAGAACTTGTTTTTAATGTGTGGATTTTGTTTCTTACAGAGCATTTGGCTCATAGGTAGTTTTCAGACATGAATCTGTCTATGAAATTCAGAAACATACATCCCCACACGTTCTCATACGTACTTTGATCAATGTTTATCAAGAATGCAAAAGAAATCTACATTGGCTTGTGTCTAATCACAACTTTTGCCCAAGATTAGTAATGATATATCTGAGAATTGATGGAAAAAATGTAGCGTGAACAGAAAGAAAGAAAAAAAAATCAAAATAAAAATCTTAAACTGTAGTTAATAAATTCTCCTGAACACTAGCAAAGTATTTTAAAAAGTGTATTAACTAGATTTTTACACAGTAGCAAATGGAATAGCACAAGTTGTTCAGAGGGAAGTAACTCAGCTGATGGTAGTGGACTGAGAATCCTCCCAACATGTCCATGGCTACTTGGAATCTTTACTTAAAGATTTCTGTGAGCTTAAGGTCATTATACTGACGTTATACGGATTTGAGTGGGCTGTAAATCCAAGGATAGTGTCCTTAAAGAGTCAGAGAAGAAGGCTGAGGAGATGGTTCAGTTGGCATAATGCCGACCTTGTGAGCGTGAGAACCTGGGTCCCCAGCATCTATGTTGAAAAGGTAGGTGTGCTTGTGGATGTCTATAATCCTAGCACTGTGGGGTGGGTTGGGGGCAGAAGCAGGCAGATTCTCTGCTGTCTGAGCCTGTTGGTCTGCAGGCTAACCTGATGGTGAGAGATGGGTTCAACAGTAGACTCTATCTCAAAGGATAACAAAAAGAGACATAATGGAGACACCTGCTGTCTATCTCTGGTCTACATATGTGTGTGCATACATGTGTATGTATACATGCAGATCCTTATACACATTACTCTATCATTCACAAAAAGACAGAAAGAAAACACAAGACATGAATGAGGTGATATAGCAACCGAGGTTGGAGTGATGTTCACAAACTAATGGAGGCTAAGAATAAGGGGAAGGCAGAGAATTACTTCTCTTTATGCACTCTCAGAAGGACTTACTTCTCCACCTCATTGGCTTAGAACTTATGATAGTGTGTGTGTGTGTGTGTGTGTGTGTGTGTGTGAGAGAGAGAGAGAGAGAGAGAGAGAGTTGCTAGGGATTGTACCCTATCCTCATATATATTAGGTAATTGCTCTATAACTGAGCTATATACCTTTAGGTTTTGATTTTTTGAGACAGGATTTAAAAAAAAACAATTTTTTAATACACAGGGTCTTTGTGATTTGGTTCAGGCTGTTCTCCAACTCAACACTGGCCTCAGAACACCATCTCCCTGCCTTAGCCTCTGTAGTGTTAGGTAGCGCTGAAGAACACTGGCTTAAAACTGGACAACTGAAAACCTCGAATGATTTTGTCTCTCTGGACTACAGTTGGCACATCCATAATGTACATGGGAAGTGGTTAAAAAAAAAACAAACGATTTTCTTCCTCTTGTTTGTTTGTTTCATAAGAAAAATTGGAGATTTGTGGGAATGTCAAAGTATTTTTGTTTTCTTTTTTCTTTTCTTTTCTTTTGTTTTGTTTTTTTGAGACAGGGTTTCTCTGTGTAACAGCCCTGACTTTCCTGGGACTCACTCTGTAGACCAGGCTGGCCTCAGATTCTGCCTGCCTCTGCCTTTCCGAGTGCTGGGATTCCAGGCATGCGCCACCACTGCCTGGCTGTCAAATATTCTCAACAATAGAGAAGATGAGGATTTAGAGACTCAAAGTCCTGTATTAATAGATAGACAATGGTTGGTTTTCATCATCACATGAGGCAGATGAATCTGTCTAGTTTGGGAGGTAGAATATGAGCAAAATTAGACTGACTTACAGCTTCTCCAAACAGTAAGGTCTGAACACAGCAGTATCATTTAATTGATGATCATTTCTCAGCGTGAGGAGACTTAAATCTTCAATGTATTTAAGGTCAGGCTGGGGAGCTGGCTCAGAGGATAAAGTGCTTGCTGGCAAGTATGAGAGTCCATACTCATTCCACACACAAAAGCCAGGCAGGTGCGATGGCCATCTGCAACTCCAGCACTTGAGAGGCAGAGACAGGGGACCCCCATAGTAAGCTGGGTAGCTAGACTTAGCTGGAATTTGAGAGACCTAGGTTCAGCAACAGTTCCTGCTTCAAGAAATAAAGGAAAACTCAAATAGGGAAGACACTGGACCTCAGCTTGCATGTGCACACACAGATACACACACACACACACACACACACACGCACACATATAAACACACACACACATGCACTCACACACACATGCACACATGCACGCATGCACACATTTCTCTCCTCCCACTGCAAAACTCAATGAACTTCCCCGCTGCACAGATAGATAGATAAGGCAGGAGGCGATCAAAAGGTCCAACCTCAGCTGAGATGCTTGCCTGGCTACAGCCTGTGCTGTCCTGACGCTGTGTGAGAACTTTTAGAACAATCTTTCTATTGCTTTCTTTGTTGGTTCCATTTGTTCAGATTTTGGGTTGCGTAGCTGTCTCTCCACACTGATTCTATGCTGTCCCTTGCCTGACCATTCAGCAGTCTTTTCACCAGACTCTCAGGGACTTGGGGTAGTTAAGCTGTTCTTATCTCCTGGAGGAGGTGACCAGGAAGTGAAATGGGAAGATTGTTCTAGAAAATTCCTCTCAGACAGCATCAGGACAGCACAGGCTGTAGCCAGGCAAGCATCTCAAGAGACTTTGGACCTTTGGAATATGAAGATCGCCTGCTGCTTTAGCTATCTGTGCAGTGGGGAAGTTCATTGAGTTTTGAGGTGGAGAGAGAGTAATGTATGTGCGTATATGTCTCTCTCTCTCTTTGTGTGTGTGTGTGTGCATATGTGCATGTGTGTGTGTGTGTGCATGTGTATCTGTGTGTGGCTGAGGTCCAGTGTCTTCCCCAGTTGATCTTGGCTCACCTCTCCTACAGAAGTGTCCTTTGAAATATTTAAATTCTAGAAATTTAAAAATGAAAACCTTTACATTTAAAACTTTAAAAAATTCAAAATAAAATATAAAAAACCTGGACTGGGGAGATGGCTCAATCAATAACCTGCTTCCTGTGTAAGTCTGAGGACCTGTGTCTGGATCCCCAGGACCCTTGTAAGAAGCCATATATAATGATGCATCTCTACCACGCCGATGTTCACAGAGGTGAAGGAGTGTGGGGAGAGGTGACAGCCAGCTTAGTTGTGTTGGCAAGCTCCAGGTTCAGTGACAGACTGGCTCAGAAACGAAGGTGGAGGAGGATGGAAGAAGACAACTTTGACCTCTGGCCATGAGTATGTGGCCAATACACAATAATAACACACACACATGCACATATGCAAATGAAAAATTCTTGCAGAGGGGTTGATGCTGATCTCCCAGAAGGTTCTAGGTGGACGGTTGCCATGGTTACCTGGAGGAACGTGTGGGCCCACAGTCTCGACCTGACCTTCAGGACTGCGCTCTCTCCTCCTCCCAGTCGTCCCACTGCACAAGAGATTTGCAAGCACTCAATGTTTGTGCAGTTCTGCAAAATGCAAAGACAAAGACGGAACATCAGTGCCTCGAGTGCAGCGAGGAATCAACACTGACGTGGATTTCTCTCCTCAGAAGACACTGACTTGCCTGCGAATCTAATGTATTTCATTTAACTTAGAGAGAGAACAAATTCATTGAAGCAACTGAGACAAAGGACAATTGGCAATGATGTGAAGTTGTTTCCTGGTCATAAAAAGGTAAAAGTGGATCATAAAATCCTGTTAGACACACGCTTCTCTCTAACAACTCCATCTCCTGTGAAAACCAGTGAGCTGTGTTTCATTTTCTCAGAACTCGGGAAGATGTTTCTTAGACACGAAAGACAAACTTGGAAAACCTGGAAGCCTTCTCAGAGAAAGCCTTTGAGTCCCTGTCACCTCAAAGATTCAAAGTTAATGACTCACTGATAAGCAATTGCTTCACAACATTCTCTCCTCTGTCCAAACCACTTCCTGATCGCTGAGCTGGCGCTTGTACAAGTCCGACACATTAGGCTGTTGTTAAACCAGATATTTACCCGTCTTATACTGGATCCCCTTTTAAATACAAGATACACAATGTGGAAAAGAGGTTCCCGATGAGGACATTCTACCTATCAAATGTATCTTCACTGGATCCCGGTTTCCACAGGCTCATTTGTTTGAACACTTGGTATCCAGCAGGTGGCGCTGTCTGGGGAGGCTGTGTAGTCTAGCAGGAAGGACCTGGTTGGGAACAGGTCACTCACTAATGGTGTACTTTTAAGCTTATACCTGCTTCTGGTTCCAACCTGCACTGTCTACTAACTGACTGGTTATGTATGTGGTCTTGCTTCTATGCACCCCCAAGGCCGAGACACAACTTCTGGTACTATGCCTTTTCTAGGACAAGCAGAAACCTCTCAGAAACTGCACTCAAATAAACCTTCCCCCTTTCACTTGCTTTTGTAAGGTGCTTTGATCACAATGATGGCAAAGATGACTAATAACTGAGTGTGGGAATACCTGGATACTGCAAGTCTGTTTTTTCACGTGCCCTGTGCAGACCTCCTTTATTGGATTGGAGATATGATCAAAGAAGTAGCCCTGAAAGAGTGGAGGCTATTACAGAGGAGAGCAAGAGGTTGGAGATGGAACCTGCAGGTACTGAGTGGGAAGAAGGGTGGTTCATAAAAATCCTCAGGTGGGGTCAGCGAGAGTAGGAAGGCAGCCGGGAGAGGACATAGAGGGAGAGCAAGGAAAGGGTTGTAATTATTTCAGCAGCTGGTCAATAGCATCAAATGTGAAAATGAAATGAAGAAAGACACGAATGTTGTAAGTTGTAAAGAGAACAGAGAAAAGTTTGGAGAGGGAGGTAGTCCTGGCCCAAGCAACGGGGGACTGAGGTGGGGGAGGCGAAGATGGCTGTAGGTGGGAGAAGAATTAAGTTTCCGTGTTGGAGATGCACATTTTAAAAAAATGCAAACTGGAAAGCGTGATGCCAGCACAGGACGTTGGCACGCTACACTTACAAATTCCTAATCAGGAATGGGATTCCGTACTCGGTTTTAACCAAACAAAAACTGTAGGAGGTCTTGTTTAGCTTTTGATTTCAGAGTAAACTTTGCATAATCATCCTCTCCTCGGAGTTGTCTCGATTCAAGGACATTGGTGGGTGTTGCCTGGCTTGTAGTTTTTGAGCCAATAAGAGGAAAGGAGAATGTAATGTGAGTTTGAAATCAGATGCAGAAACTAATGACAGTCTTGGCAATCATTTGCAAGAAAAAGGCTCCTGTGATAGTTAGAGGTTGAGATTTATGTTAAAATATTTAATGAGAAATAGCAGGAGAGAAGACACTGGACTTACATCACAAGTGCATAGAATTTCAAGAGGATACCATTTCTCCGCTGCTCTTCTGCTCAAGTTCATACGCAAAGTAGCATGTGTAAGAGGAATCTGAATCCTGTTTTTGCAAATATTTAGTACTGCAGAAGTCTGGATATTGGTTTTTCAATGGACTCTTCCCATTTTTACTGTATACAACAGGATTCTTTCGATGTCAACGTTTATTGACAACATACAGCTTTATTTTTCTAAAATAAATTTATTCTAAAAAGGACAGTATGAATTGCCTACTTTAACATTTTGAAGCCATTGTACAATTTTACAAGCGTGCAGGCCCTTAACTCATAATCTGCTGATTATTGTAGCTTTATCTCTTAAGTATGCTACTGGAGATAAATTCCCTTGTACTTTTCATTTCCATGTTTTAATTTTCCTGTTAAGAAGAAACAAGTGGATGGATATTAGGAATTAAGACATGATTGTGTGTGTTCCTATGTGTGCACATGTGTACATATGCTTGTGCAGGCCAGAGGTCACCTCGGGTGTTACTCCTAAGGCACATCCCACCTTCTATGCTGAGACAGTGTCTTTCACTGTCCTGAAACTTGCCAAAGATGCTCTACTGGCCAGAGAGCCCTGGGCACCCAGCCTGTCTGCCTGTTCAGTACTGGGATCAAATGCACACCACCACACTCAGCTATTTTACATGGGTTCTGGGGAACAAACTCAGGTATTTATGCTTGTCAGGAATCCACTTTTAAGAATGAGCCATCTCCCCAGCCCTAAGACACAGTTGCAAAAGCCTCTTTCGTTGTTTTAGGAGCCCAGGCCAGTTCTGCAACCACTGCCACTGGACTTATCATCTCAAACTCAAACTCTACTTCCTTAAGTCTTTTGCCTCATTAACACACAAGCGGAATTTGTATCTGTGTCACCCAATGGTCCTGCTCTTGACTGCTGTTACAGATATGTTCTGCAATGTTAGTGCTGTAGCTGGAATGACATTGCTCTACTTTACTGGACTGAAATAAGTAGTTAGGAGTATCAGGCTTTTACATATATTTTCTTCTGCCTTAAAAATTATAGTCAATTCATGTAGTGGCATTTCATTTGTATTTTAATAAATAAAGCTTGCCTGAAGATCAGAAGAGTAAAACAGCCACACTGTTCAGTCTTATAGAGTAGGCATCAATGACACACACCTTTAATCCCAGTAGCCACCATTATGTGTGCCCCCAGGGCATGGGGCCAAGGGACTGTGTGATGAACCAAATCACTAACTGTCAGCTAAAGTGAATCCTCCACTAAGTTGCTATGTCTTGTATTTGTCACAGCAGAAAGAAAAGCCACATTTGTCATTGCTCTTCTTGCAACTATGCAAATGCTAAACTCAGAGGCTCAAGTCCTTGGACATCCTTGCTCCTTGAATTATGTCTCTTTTATGACTGGCTGGAACAATGGGGCTCACTGAAATATTGCAAAAATGGGCATTGTAGTTTGAATACAGTGAGGGTAGTGGCTGGTGAATTTGGTCAGCACTCAGTAATCTATTTTTTAATCTGTGCAGTAGATTTTTTTTGTAGTTGGATGGAGAGTTCAGAGGTCTAAGGGCCATAGACGAATGGAATGACATTCTAAGGGCATTTGAGATATAACTACAAAAGCTGTCACCATTACTTCAGTGAATTCATACCTGAGTCATTTGTTTACACGGTCACCGAGCCCATCAGCCGGGCACTGAGCTGTGCCCAGGGAAGCAATGCAGGGAGCACCATGCATATTCTCATCTGAGGGAAGCAGGCCTGAGAGTCAGAGCACATTAGTGCCCAGAGGAGTCTCAGAGTCACTCTGCATTTCTGGGAGAGGGCCAACAGCGTGGGCTTACGAGTTTCCCAGCTCCCCACCTAGCCAGGGCAGTGACCGCTGCTCCCGTGGAAGCAGCTATAGAGCTGTTCAGAGTTCTAGCTTTCTTAGCCTTCAGTCGTTCTTTTCTTGGTCCAAAGCTTCCTGATGAAGGCCTCTCTCTTTTCTGTTTGTGACTTTGGATTGGCACTTGAGGCTGTAGCTTCAGTTTGGATAATGAGTATCAGGATGGGCTTCTTCAGTGCAAGTGTGGGGCAAGAAGCATCTTTCCGGGCAGTCTTTGCTCTATCCGAGGCACAGTGTTCTCAGCCTCTACCCCCAGTCCCCAGGTATGCTTGGAAAGAGGATAGGATGTCTGGTAGGCTCTGACTTCTGCAGAATTTGAGGCTGTACCTATAACTGAGTCCTTATGGCTGTAGTCTGGGAAATGCTGATGGATTGGAAGTTAACGCTTGCTTTGTGCCTTGGCTACGTGGTCAGGAAAGGACGAGCATCCACGGGAGGAAAGGCAGAGGAGATAAGATCATAATCAACATTGGGATGAATAAGGGCCTTGCACAAAAATACCAATTCATGTTGACAGTTCTGCAAAGTCCAGCTAAGATCAGGCTAGACCCATCAGAGGCCCTCAGTGCCAAGACCCCCATATTTCAGCCCCGAAAACCTGAACACATTAGTTTATCTTTAAGGTTTTATTTTATGCTAACTTATGCACAGTAATACAATGAACCAGAGTTCCTAATAAATACGCTGCTGTTTTTTTTTTCTCCCAGGAGTCTCTCTCTATTACTTTAATTCCCAGTCTTTTGATTGGTCCTCATGTAGCCTAGGCTGGCCTTGGGCTTGCTGTGTAGACAAAGATGACCTGCTCCTGATCTCTCTGCCTCTACCTCTCAAGTGCTGGCATCATAGACATGTATCATCCAAGTCCCTGGGTGTGCCTCCTGCCTTGCTAAGACGATCATGGGATTTCTGTTGATCTTTTATTTTTATATTCTGCATTCCAGATAGTAAAATGATATGTGATTCTTATTTTCTGTACGGCTTATTTTACTTAATGTGATGTCCTTTAGCTCCACTAATTTTCCTGCAGATGGCTGGTTTTCCTTCTTCCTTGAGGTGTTTCGGCGCTCCATTGCCCATGCCTGTCGCATTTCTTCCGTCTGCTCATGTATTGACAGCACCTAGGCTGAATCGTGCCTCTTCGTAAGTACTGCCTCCGTACACGTGGAGGTGTGCACGAGTCACAAGCTGACTTGGTTTCCCTGAGCACACGGTGCTTGCCTCTTTCAGACAAGCCAAGCCCGGTAAGATTCAGAGGCAGGTGTGACACCATAGGGACATACTGGGTCGAGACGGCTCTCGGCACTCATCTCAACTGCCCACTCAGGGCCTCTGAGTGGGCTAACTGAAACTTGATGACTGTAAATTGATTTTCAGAAGTTAATCTCCAAATAGTGGGATTCAGCATGACATTGCCATATATGGATCTTACAATTCCTGCCCTTCCTCCTGTTCTGTTCTTTTTGTTCTTGGAATGGATTCACAGTCACACTTAGTGTTCACCTCTGTTTCTCTGAAGTGGTTGTCGTGGTGGATTTAGAAGACTATAAAGGTTATATTGCAAACACTTTCTTAATCTTTACAAAAGAGTCACTTTCATTTTGCAATACAAGCCGCCCAAAGCTGTCGGACGTGTCTGAGCATTGAAGAAAACTGAAAGCAAGAGTTAAAGTTAAAACCACCTGTGTCTGGGAATTCTGTCTGTACAGGGCAACTCACCAGTATTTTTGCAGGGCTCTGTCTGTGGAGCTGGACCACTGGCGCATCCCTCTTCCTGACAAGATGAGGAATTGTAGCGTTTCTCAGGAAGGCGCTGAGCTCGGGGGTGTCCTCTGGGGAGGCAGCTGGCTGCAGAGAGAAAGCAGACATCACCACATGTAGCTGCATTCACAGATTCTACCATTTTCCTTCACCTCAAAGCCCGGGCAATTGAATCGGATTCACAAAAGTTGGGCTTTACATAGGCACAATCAACACCAAAACGACTGAAGATGACAAGGAACGAAACTGTCCCCTCTTTGGTGACAGGAATCCATGAAGCGCAGGAGAACATATTTTTGGGAAATTTATTTCCAAGGATAAATTTGAAGAAGAAATAATTTCCCCAGAAGGGCAGAAAACGAGAAGTTGACTGACGCTCCGGGCATCAGTTACTCTCACTGTTTTCCTCTCATGATGGAGAGGCCTGGCTAAATGGGGGCAACTTCTGTGTGGAAAGATAAACCCTGAGGTGTCTAGAAAGGGCTGGAGATAGCCTGATGTGCTCCACAGCCTGCTGTCTTTTTGGTTGCGACCCTGTTCCCTTGCTCTTTAGAAGCACCCCCGTGAGGAGACCTGGTGCGGGAGAATTATCTGTATTCTGTCAATCATATTTTAAATAAATGCTGATTGGGTAGTCAGGAAGTATAGGTGGGAAAACCAGACAGGAAGTAGAGGTGGAGCAAAGAGAACAGGAGTATTCTGGGAAGCAGGAAGCTCCCTCTGCAGTCCTACCCAGATCACTGAAGAAGCAACATGTGAGCTGCCCAGCTAGAAAAGGTACTGAGCCATGTGGCTAACGTAGATAAGGATAATGGGGTAATATGTGTTATAAGAGATAATAAGTAGCCAGAGCTAATGGCCAATCAGTTTATAATCTTATGGAGTCCTGTGTATGGTTTTCTTTGGGGTATGCCTGCTGTGGGGTGCCGGGCGGGACAGATACCCCAACAAGCTGACCCCTCATGTTACAGAGACCTGTGTCCCAAGGACAATGGCTTTCCCAGTGCACACGCTGCTGTATGTGGAAAACAGCTCGCTTTTCACTCTTAGTTTGTATTCTAGAACAGGTGATTTTTATCTCAGTGTTCCTGCTGAGCACAACTTCTGGCTGAAAACACACTTTGGCATTCCAAATTGTGTGTGAACCCCACACAATATCCTAGTGACATCATTTGCTTGCAGATCTGCCTAACTTGCGGCTCACAGGGCATAAGCAGTAGGGGAAACTGTGAATGAGGCGCAATACAAAGTACAGAATGTACTACTTTGTATTAATAAATTAATAATGTAATAATAAATATGAGATTGTTATTTCTTACTATTTTGTTTGCTCAGTTCTCAAGTATAGGCTTTGTGGAAACTCAGTGTTGTGTCGCAGTGACAAAGTTCGGACTACCTGTGACCAACTGAGTACAGAAACCTGCCTCCCACTTCCACCCTAAAGCTCGAGCCTTCCCTTGCTTGATTTGTCTACACATAATGAGAGCAGCATGATTACACTCCTGTCCGGGATGAAGAAAGAAATCCCAGCATTGCAGATGTGGAATGTACCACAGAAGATAAAATAGTGATGATCAGTGCTACTGAAGGCCTGGAAGAATCTACCAGACAGACAAAGGGATGGAATCCAGACACTTCAGGGTGACAAGGGTCATGACATGCTGGATCTTGCTCCTGTTGGCTTCCCCAGATTCATCACACCAGGAGGCGTTTGACTCCCACTCCACGGCAGCCTCTCTGGTTTCCCTTCCTGAGCTGTCACGAAGCTCTGGGCTTCCATTTCATGTGGCGCTTGATCTCTGAGGTCTGTAAATAGCTCTCAGGCCCATTCACACTCGCCACCGACTAGTCTTGGCGAGGGAACATAAAGTAAGAAACAGAGAGTCACATGGCCTTTCCCAGGAAACACCAGAAAACAGGCAGAGGAAGGAGATTTAACAAGGAAAATTTGGGGAGATTGGGGTGGGGAGGAAGCCCATTAGGAATGAAAGGGAAACTTGCAAAAACAAAGAACTCTTGGTGTCACCCAGATCTTGCAGAGAAGGGAAACCTGGTGAGGGACATACGTATTGGCTGAATATGTCCGCTAAGAATTGTGGTCCTTTCCTGAGTGGGATATTCTGTGGGTGAAAACTGAATCATTATACTTAAGAGGGTTTGGATAAGTAACGATTGTTTAGAAGAGCATCAAATGAAGTCCCTTGGTCATTCTCATGTTAAAGCAGTCTCTTTCCATGTCAGAGTCTGCATAGACAGTTTCAGGTAGCCAGGGCTGCACTGTGAGGTCCTGCCCCACCCCACCCCACACACACCCAAATGAAGCAACCAAGTAATCAAACAAAACTAGTTTTTAGTGGGTTAGAGTTGGGATGAACCTTTCTTAAGTGGGTAGGCAAAGCCCACTCTTGAAAAGGATGCAGGTCGAATTATTTAGTTTACTTTTTATTTTAATGTAGAAGGAAATTCTGAGGCTTGTAAGGTTCAAGGGAGGGGTAGCAGAGGAGAAGAAGTTGAAGACAGGAAACGGGGACATTTGGTGTAGAAAAATTAAGCCTGGAGCAGCAGAAGGAAATGGCTTTTCTCCAAAAGCGTTGCAGAGAGAAGTTGAAGAAGAGAAAGAATATTAGATGTTGCATATTGTGGGCTGGATTTTGTGATGTGGAAATTGATCATTTGAAGACACGCTTGTCTTCAGGACAACAGCAATGTGATGGGAACTGGAGAGGCAGTACAGAGAGTGCAGCGGAGGCTTGGAGTAGTTAATATAGAGACTGAGGAGGACAGGACTTCCTTGTGACAAGGATGACCCCACGGATACTTCCAACCACTGGGATATAATGGGACCACCAGCTAAAAGTGGAGAAGCTGGACTATAAAAGTACATCTTACTGGGACTCCCAGGGCAGTCACTTGGAAACTTTGGAAGTTTCTAAAAGAATGTCCAGGTAAATCATCTTGCATTCTCAGCATGGCCGGAAGGAAAGTTTGGCCAAAGGTAGCTTTAGGAGTGGGCTGGGCTGAATTGGGCTGAATGCTTCAGAGAAAGCATGCATATTAAGAGAGGAAGGTTCATTGGAGAGAGACGGTGAGAACATTATAGGAATAGAATGGCTGAAGAATAGGATGCTGAGTGTGGCGGAGGCAAGGTATCTAGAGAACAATGGCCACAGTCCCAGGATTGTGAGCATCTGGATGGAGTGAGGTGAGAACTCAGAGAAGTGTCGGCCCCACGGATGCTGGGATTGCCCAGGACAAGGACAGAGCCTGGTCTTGCCAGAGGATAAACAAAGGAGTTGTTCGCAAATGCTCAGAAATGGAGTATCTGATAGAAAAGTGTTTACAGCCCAAGATTTAAAAAACGGAGCTTAGACAGACAATTAAGAATTGTGTAAATCCCTAGTTCCCCACATGTTTTCTATTACCCCTCTGTATGTGTCTGCTGCCATGGACTGCAGATTTACTATGTACAACTTCTCTTTCTTTTCTTGTCCTTTGAGACAGGATATGTAGTGTAGGCTAACCTTGAATTTGTTATCTCCTGCCCCAGCCTCTAGCAGGAAACTAATGTACAGAGTGGAAGTACTGGAAAAATCGGGTCATGATTAGTGTGTGTGTGTGTGTGTGTGTGTGTGTAAGTCATATATGGGTGAGAGCGTGAAAGTGTGTATAAACATGCACATGGATGCTAGAGTACTGTTTTGGCTATTGTTTCCCAAGTGGCATCCACTTTGGGGTTTCCTGAGTTTTTCTGTTTGCTTTGAGACCAAGTCTCTTATTGGCCTGGAACTTTCCCAGCAGGCTATGCTGTCAGTCCAGAAAACCCTGAGGATTTGCCTGGCTCTGGCTCTGGGTGATTTCTGTACATAGGTTCTTGGGGTTAAACTCATGTCTTTATGTTTGCACGGTGAGTATTTTGCCAACTGTGCCACTTCCCTAGTCGCTAGTTGTGATTTTCTATTCCCAAATTATAACTTATAATTATTATCAGTATTAATAAAACAATGGCCCCAGACCAAGAACTCTTTGTGTGGTTTCTTCAGATGCGGCTTATGTGGAAATCAAGAACATATGTGCTGGGGTCCATTATAATTTGTCAATATTAATACACGGTCTCTGGATAAGCATAGGTCCTCCAACTAGCCAGAAAACAGGGCCCCTGCAAGAAAGGTGTCAACAGAACATGCCCCTTTCTTTTCATACCACTGGTTAGAAGATAGAAAAAGCGTCTCTGGTGAGCACCGTAATCTATGGGTCTTCAAACAGCTTACAAACCAAGTTCCTCAAATGGCATTCCAGAAATTATTTCACAAAACAAAACATAACAAAGGGGGGAAAGTTATCCAAGAAATGTAAACAACAATTCCCATCCATTTTCTTGATGGATGGTGGCGTCCCTTTCCCAATTGGCCATGGTCACACAGACTGAACGTTTCCTCAGCCGGAGATGAGGGGAGGTGAGGGATGCTGGACTCAGAGTCCTCGGGCGAGGCAGACGTGCTGTCAAGAGCAAATTGGTTCAATGCTATGAGAAGCTGTAAGTAAACACTCAAGAGGCTCCCCAAGAGCAAACAACTTTGTTCTGCAACAAGGAAATAATTGTTAGTAAATACGTTTCTTTCGGCAGCTGCTACTCAGAATTTGACCTCAACAAGACTTTTTCATTTTCATAATTTCCCCCCAAACTCCTCACTCTGGTGCAGGCTTAAATTTATGGATTAAAGGAACAATATGTAGCTAGAATGTGCAGTACCATTGGGAAAAATGGTCTTTGAAGAAAGAAGTTGGGTGAAACGAGACTGGTGGCCCTGAGAATCCATAGTTAAGCCTGGTATCCCATCTTTTTCTTGTTTGTAGTGTCTTTGGAGCTCAGGTATTCCCAGCATACACGAAAGAACAAACTCTACTCAGGGACTGTAATTAAATCTAAGTGGAGGCAAGCCTAGAGGGCCAATGTACCCTGCAATTAAGACATACATGTTAAGGGTTTGTGGGCAGAGGGAAAACCCCACTTTTTTCTTCCTGAGTTATGCAGTCTAAATACAAGAATCAATGCACTCCATTGATGGTGCTGAAGCTTCCTTAGTCTT